AATTATATCAATAAGATTAATAATTTATATCAATAAGATTAATAATTTGTATCAATAAGAATAATTAACAAACATTTATACCAATACCGTTAATAATTTATGATGAAAATAATAGATTTATAACCAAAATATCAATAATAAAAAATGTCAAACTTTTATAACCAAACTATCAATAACAAAAAATAGATCTTCATTTATAATAAATATTCATCTGGATCTACCTACTAGATCTCCTGCAATCATATCTCTTACAGCACTCATATATAGATCGTCACTCCTACGACGAGAACTAGTGTTTTTATGTGCTTCATTGTTGCTACCACATCCTTCATCATCAACATCAATATGAGGGTTGTATGATTCTTGTTGCGTCATGTCAAATGCTTCGTCAAAACTTCCGTTCATTCTAATATAATTGTGAACTGCCATCGACGTTACTGCAATACTTACTTGTGTCTCATAGGTGTAATTGACATGCATATCTTTTAGTATTTGCCACCTAGCTTTCCATACTCCAAAAGTTCGTTAAACAACATTCCTCAGTGATGAGTGATAATAATTAAATGTCTCTTTTGCTCCTTTGGGAGCACGTATTGCTGCAGTCTGTTCGCGACGGAAATCACGTATGTGATAACGAATATTTGTTCCTTTGTATGGGGCAAGATAACCTTTAGTATTTGGATATCCGGCATCAACAACATAATGGTTCTATCGATCTGTTCGTGAAGGGATATCGATCTGTTCGTGAAGATGGTTCTGGAGAAGAGGAACGATCTGTGCATGAAGATGGTTCTGGAGAAGATGGATATCTAGATCTGTTGAAGATGGATATCTTATAGAAGATGAGAGGATATCGATCCAATCTTGAGAGATATTTGATGAAAGGGTGTTACACAACGTTAAAATGGTAAACTGGTAATAAGTTGATTTTCATAAGTCAAGAAGGATTAACTTATCAAAAACTGCTTATTACCGGTTTGGCACCGGTATAAGCAGTTTTTTTCTTACCCAAACACTACAAAACTGCTTATCTCCGGTGCCAGACTGAAATAAGTTAAAAAAACACTTTCGATAAGCAATCTCAAACACCCCCTTAGTCTTGGAATATGATATCTAGTTTGGTTATTTTGCAAGTCAATTAATATATAAAGTTGAAGGTTAATATAATATATTAGCAAGATCGAATGGCAATAATTGCACACGTATTGAGTTTCTAAACCCATATACTCATAGCTCATTACAAAATTCGAAATTCTTGACTGAACAAAGAAATACAACCATTTGTAAATAATGTTCATCCGTATATCCAAACTGTTGTTTAGTTTTCGTGATGCACTCATCTGTAAATATTTTCTACGAAAAACGGTGCAATGATTTTAATAGAAACATATGGTACCAAATGTGTAATAATATAATTGTTGATTGTACCTTATTCATCACGTAAAACTTCTTTGATAGATGACGTTTGAGGTGTAGACTCCGACATGATTGAATTTTTTAACAGACTTCACTAACACATTTGTATTCCCCGTGATATCCCTCTGGACAACACCACGTAAAGTTGTTCGTGCGAGAATACTGATTCCGGTATATAATACCTACATTCGGAATTGCTTGGCCTTGAGCTTTATTGATTGTCATTGATAAGCTAAGCCGAATTGGAAACTGTTCTCTTTAGCTTAAATAGGAACATGTTGTCTTCGGACGGACATAAGGGAAATCTCGACAGAACTGCTCTCTTTCTAGCATGCTGACCAACAACTATTTATACATTAATAACCATCTGTTGAAAGCCTCTGCATATCAATCTACTACCATTACATAATCCATTCAAGGGATCGATATGTCGTAACAGTATTATTGGACATCCAATCTTGAAAATAAGGTAATGAGGAGGCAAACCACTAACAGTTAAAGGGTTTAAAAACTCCATCGGATAGATGTTATTTCTATCATCTTCTACTTCGTCAAGCTGTAGTATATTTTCTCATCTTCAGAGAACTTGTCGATCAACTGATCATTAATCTCATCGACATTCTCATTTTTAATTGATAATATCGCCCTCGAAATTATATAATCCGAATCAACACCGTGGGGAAGACAACAGCAAAAAGAAGAAAAAAAAAAGGGGATCGAAGCAGCTAGTTTTCTTGGTCCACGAAGAAGCAACCGGGCTGCTGGTTGGACTCGAGCATCACACAGCACAGCAGCCGTGCTGCTGTTTGAACAGAAGGCCGAAACAGCTCACAGCACGAAGTCGTGGCTGCTGTTTGGACAGAGGACTCGAAGCAGTAGCAAGCTGCTGAATCGGAGCACGCAACAAGCAGAACCGAAGCAGCCCTAGCTGTTATTCGGCGCACGCGGTAAGGGCAAAAAAAAATCGACACAACAGTAACTATTGTTTGTTGCTGCACCAGTCGGGAAAACAGGCTCGTTTGGCCTGCGGTTTACTGCTATACCGGGAGGAAAACACAGCAGCCGTAGCTGTTGTTTGGTGCACTCAAAAAGCTGTCGTTTGACGCGCACAGCAGACGGAAAATGCAGCAACCGTAGCTGCTTTTTGACGCACTCCACAGACGGAAAACGCAGCACCGTAGCTGCTGTTTGANCGCGCACAGCAGACGGAAAATGCAGCAACCGTAGTTGTTGTTTGATGCACTCCACAGACGGAAAATGCAGCAGCCGTAGCTGCTGTTTGACGCGCGCAACAGAGGGAAAACGCAGCAGCCGTAGCTGCTGTTTGACGCGCGCAACAGAGGGAAAACGCAGCAGCCGTAGCTGCTGTTTGACGCGCGCAACAAAGGGAAAATGCAGCAGCCGTAGCTGCTGTTTGACGCACTCCACAGACGGAAAACGCAGCAGCCGTAGCTGCTGTTTGACGCGTGCAACAGAGGGAAAACGCAGCAGCCGTAGCTGCTGTTTGACACGTGCATCAGGGGGAAAATGCAACAGTCCTAGCTACTGTTTGACACGCGCAGCAGAGAGGACCGATGCAGCAAGCAACAAGCTGCTGATTTGGACGCAGTTAAGAACCGGTCTTCTTCTATTGCTGTTTCTTTTCGATGGGCGCCATCTCTTTGATTTAAGAACTCCCTGCCATTCCTCTTAGTTCCAAGATTTCAGGATTTCCCCTAAATCTTGCCAAGTGAGTTCAACCTATTTCTCCCTTATGAAACCATATACTAGATGCGTTGATGTGTGTTACTTACGATACACTCTAGTCCCATGAAATTACTTACTTGGATGAAATGAGGTTTTTGGGCCAAAATCATGCGAACTTGAGAAATCCTCTTGACATTTGATAGGATGGTTTTGAAACCGGTTTGTTCACTAGGTGGAATGCGCATTTTAAGTATTGTTAGCCATTAAATCTTGAAATTCCCTATGAACTGTCTATGGACTTCTTCCCTAGTAGTAAGGGAATTCTTTTCATTGCTCTAAGTCTCAGGTAAAAGTCTTATTATTAAAAAGAAAGAAGTGTCCTTATGCTTAAGATGTCGCCTTTAAACATATTTATGGGATGTAATGAGACAAGGGTACGAGAGTCGTTTTATTTAATTGTGTGAAGGATGATGTAAATTGGATTTAGGCATTGTGATTATTATGTAATTTCCAAAATCATCTTCTCACTCCTACTTGGAAATAGGCATTGTGATTATTATGTAATTTCCGAGATAAAGAGCTTATGATCACGACCGACTACATGACTGGTTTAGGTTGATGTCAATGGTGTTAAACCTGTAAGTGATGCTCTGTAACGTGGATCTATGACATACTTTGTGTTCCGTCATAATCCACGGTAAATCGGGTCTCCCCCGTCGTATTCGGATGTTTTGGTTCCACTACAAGTTATCTAAGATTAGTTGTTCCCCTTAAATCGTTTAAAGTTGCATCATCTATTTATTTATAAAGATTTTATAATTTCATTTATTTTAATGCTTGGACTCACTAGGCGTAAGCCTACACTCTCTCTATTGAATCGGTTGTTATCAGGTTCGTTAGCAGCGGGGCACAGAAGGGTTGAAGGGAAAGTGGTCTCGTAGAAAGGATTCTTATTTTTGTAGAGAAAGCTTTTGGTGTTTTGAGCGTTGCAATCTTTGATGATACAGTATTTTGTTGGAGATGGTAGAAACACCCGTTCTTAATCTAGGCATAGAATTGTTTAGATTAATAGGTTGTTAATTATTGTCTCGCTAGAAGTTTTGTAAACGCTATACTATTTCCTTGTTGGGTGAATTCTTGTTAAACTCTAGTTTCCGCTATGTATTTCCAGGTTCAAAGTATCTCCTACCCTATTATATATATATATATATATATATATATATATATATATACCTTTATTTTTAGGGTGTTACAATAAATGATTGTTTGATAGTGTCTTAATGATATAGAAAATGATTATTTAATAATTAAGCTTTTAGGAGGGAGTTTTATACAAAAAATGGCGTAATCCACACACACAACTTCATTCATTCATAACTTAATGTAAAATCAACCAGTCCCTTACGTGTACATATCATCTGAAAGAGTTAGTCGGTTTCATATATGTTTCATGAAGCTAGTCTACAAAAAATTAGACAATAAAGATCAAGTTTTTATCACAAAGACAAACACACACACACATGTGTGTGTGTGTGTTGTTTTGAAAGAAGCAACTTGAGTTCATATATATAATGGACTTATCTAACATTACATCTCCCTTTTAGCAATCATTTGGCTATTTCATGTATCATTTAAATAGTTATATCCATCCTTATAGAGTTATACAAGTCATGAGTGCCAGACAGTTTGATTATTTAGTTATAAGATTTGATTACTAATAAACCATGGTTTAGTCCAAAAATTGTGTTTTGCTTTTGTATATAGTTTAATTTCCAAAAGATAATATATATGGAAGTTTGGCATTTACCTAGGATCCCGGCAGCCGTTGAAACTGTAAGTTGCAGATGGACAAAAACCAAGATGATTCACTAACAGTTCCAGTTAATATAGCTTCTTGTAAAACCATTTTCCAAATTTGAAAGCAAACATGTTAAGTCTTCATCCATCTTCAATCTTCCCACCCAAAAATGAAATTAGAAAATAACAAAAAGATGCTGACATGATTCTTTAAAATCATTTTTCAAATTTGAAAGCAAACATGTCCAATTTATCTATCAGGTAAGGTTCAAGTTACCTACACTACATAACCATGTGCAGACTTAATGGACAAAACTAATACAACAAATATGAACTTGGTTGACTTGATTGTTAGTGAATAATTTAAACCCATCAACATAACCTATTGAACTCAAACAGTGCGGGTGTTCTACAGTTGCTACTATCAGTTGTATTTGTAGGCATGCCTTCACCTACGAGGTCCTACAATGCTATGTAGTTGATCAAATAATATGGTGTAATGTGACTAGCTTTCCATATAGCATGCATATGGAATACTCCTTTTTAGCAACTTGAGTTCATATATAATGGGCTTATCCAACATTAAATCTCCTTTTTGGCAATCATTTGGCTATTTGACCTATTTCAACCCGAACTTTGTCATATCCAAAGTCAGCACAAGTAAAGGGTTTGTTTGGTTGATTTTCTGTTAGGAAGTACTGGAACCCCTATAATGATTTTTAAAATGTGATTAAAGGGGTTGAACCAGATTTTGATCAAGGTAACACCGGTGGCTAGGCCAAAGACCCTCATATATGTTGTTATCTCCAATCGATCCCAAATTTACAACCATACAAGTATCCTTATCCTTAGGACAGTTATGGAATAGCAACAAAAAAAGACAGGAGATATTCACTTGATGTTCACCTTCCTTTCAACGGGGTTGACATCAGCAATAGTCTTTTTGTTGATATGCTATTTTTCATTGCCTACATGATAATTTGTTCTTGTACTCAACAATTTTGTTGTTTAACCGAGTGTGATTCATAAGCACACAAACACAACCAAAAATAAGAAAATAGAAAAACACAACCAACAATTGATTTATGCCATGAACAGATTGAGAGATGAGATATAGAGATGAAACATACCACAACATATGAACCTGTAAAACCCTGTAATCAAGACCATGAAATCGCTAGGGTTTTGAAATGGAAATGGAGAAATCAAAACTTCAAATTTTAGGTTATATGCACAGATGACGTCGTCTTAGGAGCCCCAAATTTGATACATCAAATCGGCCGTTTGTGCAAAGGTAGCAGCAATGGAAGAAAGCGAGGTCTGACCTTACCAAACTGGTTTTGGCGCATAGGGGAGAGATGGAAAAAGTAGAAGACTGTTAGAGAAGAAAGAGATGTCTGACCTTACCAAAACGGTTTTGGCACATAGGGATTGCTGGAAAAGAAAGAAAAAGTTCTGAATCTATCAAGGAAGAGGACTTTACATCGCTTTAACCATTGGAATTAAAGTCAATGCATCAACAAGCTGTACATGGTGCTTTATAAGAGTTTTTTAAAATCTATGCATAAAATGGTAGTACTTTGTGTCTTGTGGTTTGTAATTAAGATATGGGTCTAAATGTTTATTAATGTAGTATAGATATAGATATATGTAGTAGGGTCTAGGTACCAAAAGATACATGGAAGATGTAATGGCAGAAGGCAAAGGGTTGAAATAACATTAACATTAGCATATTTTCATTCATTCCTTTACTTGAGAATTGTACACTTGTTTGGGGAACAACTCAATAACCACCCTGCAATAAACCAAATAAAAAACTACAATGAAAACAGCTTCAACCTCGACTCCACCTCTCTCTCTAGAAACAAACAAGGGGTGAAGAACTAGAAGGTTAATCCAACTCTCACACTATTTTTACTAACAGGATCAGAGTGGTTTTCCAGCTGAATTGTCTTTGATGTCCCCATATGCCAAAAGATTACATGTAACTTCCCCTTCCATACAAGTGAAACAAACAATATCCACTTACTTGTCTTCTTCCACATGGAGAGATTCAGCAACTTTATCAGCAAGTTGAGTTATTGCATTCACAGCAGCCGGAGCGCTTTTTGTAACCTTGGACCTCTTTTCCTGCAAATCCTTCTCCCGCTCATCATAGTAACTAAAATCGTCTAAAATTGACATATCTGCATCATGATCTTTGAAGATTTTTAACATTACAATACCCACTTCTAGTTTCACCTACACAAGAAAAAAGGGTAGATCTGATCAGACGAAAGCTTGGACCATTTCTACCAGAAATACCGCTTTTTGGATGCATGCATAAATAAATACCTCTTGTGAATCTCTGCTATGTGTCACAGGCTTGTTGTCATTATTTTCAACAAGAATGTGTCGAAATCGACTGTTGGGGACATCCTTGATTATGTGCCATTTGACACGGAATTGGCCACTCCACCTATCCTGCTGCCAATATTCTGCATCATTTACAAAATCTACAGGTCCAACCATTTCAGCCACGCCACAGAACTGTCCACTGGCATTTACCTACAAAATTTGACCATCACACACTCAGATTTCATTGATTCCCTCTCAACATATAAAGAAAACACAGGTGATATGAAATTGATGTGGGAAATAATCTTGTACTGTGTTCTTGGATGATCAAGCATCTTCCTACCCTCTCCCACTTTATTCCCCCACTGTAATTCTTGTACAAGTAGTATCTCACCATCTTTCACATACTCTTCTCTTTACATATGTCCGAACTCTCTTTCTTTAACCGGTTCCAAAGAAGCACTTCTTTACCTTTGAGCATGAAAGGGTGCTCCATTAAGGATGCAACATCCTCACAGAAACAACTATAAGTAGTCAAAACTCAATATTGCATCCACATATCATTAAGGCGCTGTTTGCTTTTCTAAGAGGTGCCCAAGTCTGAAAGTTTTATTTCACTTCTTATTGAAGAGGTGGTGCTGAATTTTGAAAGTTGAATCTATAAAACTGTTTTTGTAAAACGATAAATGTCTGAATGTGTATTAACCCTAATACCAACATCTTTTACTTATAAAAAAAACATCAAGTAAAACTTATCAAAAAAAATTATTTTACTTTTTTAAATCAAAATAAAAGGTGTATAGGTAATTTTCTAAGAGTACTAAGTTTTGTGCTATTGAGACTTGTACATATTAGATGGATGGTACAAGTCGTAAAGCTCGATTTTGTTATCTACCTCGTCTTTTAGGGTTCCAATTTTTTCGTTTTTGTTATAGGAAATAAGAGGATAGCAAGAGGCTAATAAGACATGGTTTAACCTCTTGTCCAATAAGAGGACGGTAAGAGGCTTTAAGCTCTTACCACAAAGAAAAGTCTTACAAATCTAACCTCTTATCCAGTAAGACATAAGTAGTGAATAAAAGGGCTTTTTTTTTTAAACAAACAGCACCTAAGCAATCTTCTTATTTATTCTTCACATATAAAATTTCTTTAGAAGCTTATAAGTCGGGCCTTTCCACCTTGTGAGTATATGCATGATTGAATATAAGTCGGGGCCGTTCCACCTTGATCTTTGTAATAAAATTTCATCCGGCATGAAGCTTGTAACAGTTGGCTAAAGTCAGTAGACTTTCTTATCTATGTGTCCCATTTAAGATAAAAATTGAAGGGCTAAAATGTGCAATTTTGAAAGCAGTAATAGATTCACAGTTACAATAAATACAGACGGCAAATTCTTAGTTTGAGAGTTCAAAATACTTACTGAGAAGAAGAGGAAGACTGGACAAGTGCCGCCGGCTCCCTTTGCTTCTTGATAAGCAGCATCTAGTTTTCTGTTTCCCAGTGGGGTACTGGCCCAAACACCGTACTTGATACTTTTATGGACATTGTCTTCACTAAAAGACTTTACTACAAAGAACTTCGCATTGTCATAGGTTGTAACAAAATCAGGTCGATTGTAAAGCTCAATATCAGGCCTGGAAGCAAGGTCATTTTTACCATCTGCAGGTGATATCTGCTCACAAGCACTATTTTCCTTTGGCTTTGATGCCCTTGGTCCTCTGTTACGATCACTGGTAGTACCATGTGATTCACTAATCATGCTAATCACATCCCGCTCCCTATGCTTCCCGCCTTTGTCGGTCACAAGACGATTCAGGCGGCTAGCTTCCCCATGGAAACTGCCATAATTATACCCTCTGAAAGATCCACTTTGTGGGTAGCGTCTTGTAGAGGAGCCCGATACTGACCCGTATCCATATGCTGTCTGCTGCTGTGGAATCTGGAAATCAGCAGGCAAAAAGGACTTAAAATTCTCATACACATACATTATCAACAATAACAACTTGCATGTGATTGCAATGGGCTTCAAAGCAACAAAGCAACAAAGCTAGCAGACCTAAAAAAGTACAACCTCAAAATCATAGCAAGCTGCAAGATGGATACAATTTGAAATCTTCAGTTTGGAAATGGAAGTGAAAAAAATAGAGGTAATTGCTCAAACAATCATTAACGCATCATAGACCAATGGTGTTAATAGTAATTCTCTCCTTTCCTTCGTAAAAAACACTCGAGAACAGAGCGATGATAACAGCAACAGATGAACAGATTTCTATATACTTCTAATCTGTCATTGCCATGCAATACAAAAAGTAACGCAGCAAAACAAGGTATGAACTTTTTTGGTATGCATTGCAATCATGCACATCTTTACGCTGTATTCAACAAAATTGTAGTTCCTTTTCGTACACCATTACCAGTCTCTTCACCAAGTTGTGCAAAATCTCTTGGGTTTAACACCCAATGTAACATTTTATTAATTACAAGAGATCTTTCTACCAGATGAATTGATCAGGGAAGTTATATTGTAAACCTTATCCCTTGAGTTGTATTTATTATTTCATTGTTTCAGCTTTCTAGCACCACACACAAGTCAAGGAATGACACCATATCAACTTCTCTGAGTAACAGAGGTGTTCCCATTTCATTACCTTTACATCCATGCTACCACTAGACCATCGGTCTATGTAAAAGGTGAAAGCCCAAAGATATATATACTGAAAAATTGAAGGCATAACAAGTTGTAAAGAGAACTAACCTGACCAAAAACATGCTCATAAGACCCAAGTATGCCAACTGGAGCAGGGTACAAGGCTCCTGATGTTATTGGAGATGTGTAGCTACCTGTGTCTGAAGACATTGATCGATTTGATACTGATTCACCAGAGCCAATGTCCCCGGGATATTTATAGAATCCAAGACTATTATTTCCAGAAGGGTTACCTCCACCATAAGTACCATAATGTAAATAATAACCTGATCCTGGACCCAAAAAAACATTGTCATGAAGAGCCTCTTGACCACTGTTTGCTGGTGTTGCAAGATCAGTTGGAAGAGTAGACGTAACATGAGGTAAGCCAGGAGAAGCGGGCTGTGAGTAGTAAGATGGAGACATTGGGACTTGATGTGGTGAAAACAGCTGCCCATCTATCATTATCGGAGACAAAGGACTAGCAACTGGAGAGAACTGGCCATATGCTACCTGGGCATCAAACCCATAAGCAGGGTGAAACAATAGCGACGCATTATCATTGTAAATTGCCTGCATCAGGTCAAAAACGTAGCAAAGAACAGCCTGTGAGTTCGATAGTGAAAAAACAAAATATTGTTCTTTCTAATGATAAAATGGTGTTGAGAAAAGATGCAAACTAAATAGTGACCATCCTCACCGGAGGCACAATTTGCAAGTTATTAGCATGAACATAGTTTGAATATTCTCCCCAGTTAACCGAGCCATCCTCGTAACCTGATGCTGAATCACACATAAAATGATGGTAGATCAAGAAATGTCAACAAAAATGTGGCACTAACAAGACACGGCGACAAAAAAAAGAGAAATGACCATGAAAATAAATTCAGCAAACAACTTGGAACATGGAAATGAATCCAGTAGAGGACTACTAAATAAGTTTTTGCACAATGTAACACCATCAAGGAAAATATAGAAGTTCCAGTTTGACTTGTAAAATGACATGAACATATAAGCATAAACTATCGACCTCCATTGTATCCAAATATAATCACTACATGATAATGGATTAACACAATAATAACAGAAAGCCACAAAGGCCGCGTAGTTAAAGCAGACTCTAGGCCTCTGTAACATTAACAAAACCATCATGGTATAAAAAACTAACCTCCATAAAAGTAGGTCTGCTCTGGAGGAGTAAAAATATTTGATGGGTTTACAGGGGTCTGAGCTCCACTTGCATTCAATGCCTCTGGCTGATTGGAAATATTTCTCCTCGGCCCTGTGATGGCTGCATCAGGAGAAGGATTTGGAGAAACAATCCTTTCATCTTTGGGGGAAAGTGGCTGATAATACAAATATAGCTTGAATGAAACACATTACCTAAGCTAATCAAAACATATATGAAAAAGAAAATCAATAAAAAATTGAACATGTAACAAGTACCTTATCCATGTAGTTAAAAGGCACAAGCCCTTCACCTGCTACAAGTGTCGTAATTGTCAAGAAGTTAGTGATTCAGCTGAATAATGAAGCACACAGGTAAACTGCTAAAGGGCGACATACCAGAGAAAATATTGGTACAACTGTTTGACCATGTTATCATGCTGACATGGTATTAAAACCCAATCAAATTAGTTGAAAGTGATGGTGTCTCTCATCATGGCATTTTCTCACTTTTAGAGTGTGTATATGTGAAAGAAAAAGCCACTTTGCAATTTTCAATTAATCTAATTTGTTTGTTGTACCAGGTAAGTGATTGCATTTGCAACCAATATGTTCTAAACATTCCGATAGATACACAAATAAAAACAGATTGTGTAAAGTGTTAACAACCAATGGCACATTCGCACAGGGTAACAGGCATGACAAGCTGATGATGGTGTTTGCAATAGTTCTGGAAAATCGCATAAGCTTGTCCAAAAATTTGGGATCAGGCTAGCAACAAGAATTTCAGCTTAAAGGCCATAAGGAAGCAAAAGGGAAAAGACCCAAATATAGACAGTTCCAAAAAAAGCAAGTTCCAAATGTCTTGCATAGAAAGCTGAGTGAAGTGATTAAAAACGAAAGTTACAAAATAATAACAATACGACTTGATGATCAGCATCCATGTGATGTAATCTCCTAGCCATCAATCCTACCATAGCACAAAGGTTAAATGCCATCACAATCTACAGAGCTGAGTCCAGGAGAGATGAAAAGAGTTCTCTATCGTACAACCAATACAATTGTAAGAGAGATCGCTTTCGATTCAAACAAGGCATTGTCTGTGCATCTTTCCCTGAATCATCATCCATCTAACACTAATGCTTCATCCCCTAAATACTTTGCTATACAGCCTAATGCATCCTTTCATCAATACTCCATCTATTACAGAGTGCATCCTTCTTTTTATGGTTTCGAATATATATCACCAAATCAAGAGGATGAAAAAACAATTATGTCCACCTATATAAGTGAAGTAGACAATCAAGGACTAACAGGAACACCTTTCTCAGATACATGGAAAGAAGACTCGCTAGGAGAGCACCTTAGTAGATATATCACCATGCAGTCACCCAAGTTCAATAACTAATGGAAACACCTTTCTCAGATACTGCAATTGGGCTCTGCTATGAACCTTAGGAACTAGGAAAACCTTTTCTAGAATAGAGGAGCCAATAAGGCTCATGATAGAAATAGCATGCTAATGTCTTCCAGAGAAACGAAACTATTCTTCCACAGTTATGGTAATAGCTTCAGGTTGGCCAAACCATTACTTGATTCCATAATCGGAGTCTAACCATGAACTTGAAGCAAAAGCATGAACATAGTCAACCAATTGTAAAAGGGCAACATTACTGTGAAGCTTGATTTTTAGGTATATAATAAACTGGCGCAAGATCTGAAACCAGAACAAATGTATCTTCAAACCCAAATTTCAATTGAGCTCCAATTCCACCCAGCTCTATCCACATCAAATCATAACAAAGCCCTACATCGTGGTAGCAACTTATATAATCAATGGACAGGAACCCTAGATTCCCAAATCCTATAGAACCAACAAGGAACATGAAAAGTTCACGTACACAAAATAAAATTCACGATCGCACAAAATTCATATTGCGAAAACAATCAATGACGCAAACAATATAAGAACAATGTTGCAAGAAAGAACGAAATCAACCCGTCCGACCAAAATCGACAGAGACTAATTTTCACATTATTGCTAGACAAATAAAGAGAATTTCGTAAATAAGCAAGAAAAACATACCACCATGTAAGGGCAGAGCTGAAATTGAAGCAGGAGAAACTCGATCTTTTCCCTGTTGACCCTTTTCTTCCATGATTTTTCCAGAACGCCTCAAATCAAATCTATAATAGAAGAAACTCTTAAAAAAAAACAAAATCAGAAAAATCAAGATTGAAGAATCAAATTCAAATTCCTCAAATCATCAATCATCATCATCAGTAGATAACAAATGATTATTGGAAATCAAAAAAATTAAAAACCGAAAGGGTTTTAGGTCATATATATAGATAAAAACGTATATATAACACACACGTCCACGTACTTGTGCGTGTGTGCAGATGGAGTAGCATTAAGAAACTTCCCTCTCTTTTCCTAGCCGTGATTAAAACTCAATTCAATAAAAAAAAAATGGTAAAAATGCATTCTGTTTGAAAACTCGGGATCGTATTTATATTTATAACGTCTTATCTAACACCATAAATCACAATTTAAATGATACTAACATCAAATGGAAGTACATCATTAAATGAACACTTTCATTCTATGTCTAAGTGATATAATAGACACCTACATTTGTTACTGTAAGTATTCTAGTAATCACAACTTTTTTTATAAAAAAATATATATCATTTGAATTTGTTTTGCACAAATATTTTTACTAATTGGTTGATTTTGATTTCAACCATTGTTATAGATTTCAAACATCCAACACGTTTTTATACACCCTTCATTTTCTTTCAAACTATCATCTTTCTACCACTGAGATAGTGAAAGTCAACATTATTTCAGATTTGAGGAACACTAAAACCTCATGTTGTCAAGTAATCATCCTTAATTTCACTTTTATATTTAAACCATAATTTTTACCATATGGTTGGTTTTAATTTCAACCATTGTTATAGATTTCAAAGAAGGTCATTTGAAATAAGACAACATTATAAGTCAAACCTCATGATTCAACACAAAGGTATCCAGATCCACCTTTTTATGCATTTCACTTTGTTCAAATCTTTTAACTATTCACCAATTTGGGATAACTAAAACTCAACAAATGTTTAACTATTATATTAAACATTTAACTATTACATGCAATGTTTTGTTATGTAAATAAAAAATAACCACTTAACTTAAAATTGGATCAAAATTTAGAAATGCATTCAAGCTATATCTTATCCTTTATATCGTCACTTGTACTTTCAACTTTTCACTTTTGTCACCAGTATATGACAATCAAGAATTCATCATAATTCATCATTTGGTAAATATTTTATTCTCATTATGTCATGTCATCATCTTAAGATTTTTTTCACTTTTGTTATCAACGTGGGACAATCAAGAATTCAGCACAATTCATCATTTGATAAATACTTGATTCTCATTGTGCATGTTATCATCATAAAGTTTTTCTTTTTATAAATATTGATGATTGATATACTAATTCCAACTTTTCACTTTTGTTATCAATGTGTGACAAATAAGAATTCACCATAGTTCACCATTTGATAAATATTTGATTCTCATTGTGCCATGTCATCATCTTAAAGTTTTAAAAATAAAATATTTAACTATTATATTAAATATTTAACTATTACATAAAACATATTGTAATATAAATAAAAAATAACTATTCCAAAATTTTATCAAAAATTGCATATACATTCAAGCTATTTTTTATCCTTTATATAGTCAATTGTACTTCCAACTTTTCACTTTTGTTTCCAATATGGAACAATCAAGAATTCACCACAATTCACCATTTAATAAATATTTGATTTTCAATGTGTCATGGTTTGTTTGGTTTCCAACCATGGTTATAGATTTCAAAGATGGTCATCTAAAATAAGACAACCTTATGAAGCAAACCCCATTATTTGACACAAATGCTTCAAATCCACCTTTCTTATACACTTCATTTTGTTCAAATCTTTCAATGATTCACCAATGTGGGATACCTCAAACTCAACCACAATTCACCATTTGGTAAATATTTGATTCTCATTGTGTCATGTCATCATCTTAAGGTTTTTCACTTTTGTTATCAATGTGAGACAATCAATAATTGACCACAATTCACCATTTGATAAATACTTGATTTTCACTCTGCATGTCATCATCTTAAAGTTTCTCTTTATATATATATATATATATATATGTATATATATATATATAGAGAGAGAGAGAGAGAGATGGACGATCAAATGCAAACCACCCCTTTTTGTGCAAACCCTACAAACCAATCTCATCCATCCATTTTCTTAATTAATGGTCATGATTAAAATGTAAGATTAAAATGTGTTAATTAAGAAAGTAAAACATAAAATAAAATAAAAGGTTTAATATTGAATCAAGAAAGGGCAAAATTGACAAACCATTTTAACTTTCAGCCATATTATATTAGGAAATCAAATCATTGTTTCATTGGCTTTGTTGATCCTCTCTCTCAGTGATTTGATGATAATCCCTTCTCACTTATACGAAGTATTTATGTTTCTATCTTTTCAGTTCCAGTGATCTTCACTGAGCCTGTTCAGTGATCGCTGAATAACTTGTATTGTAATTCAATCAACGACAGCGATACTTCAAGAAGACAACGCTCACACCAAAGAACCTTCAGCGAACGTCGAAGACTGAAACTGAAGATTAGAGACTGACGAGTATGTGATCTGAAGCGGTACTCAGTGATTACAAGTCTGTCTACATATGTATAAAAACTGTTCAAGCCTCAGCGAATGCTGAAGAAACCTCCAGATTATTCCAGCATTCAGCGATCAAAGGGAGCAAGTACAAGTATTAGTAGCATAACAAAAATAGCTTGCCATGCACGATTGTTGTTGTCTTGTCCTTATACATACAAAGGACAAACCCATACCCTTTCTAAATGTTAGTACGGTATGGAGTCGACTAGTTGACTCTATTACCCACCAACTTTAGGTAAGGATGTCTACTCATGAATAGGCTTTTTGTACTATTCACTATAGCAAAGGACAAACCTTCCTCTTAAGGCTTGACACGCACTCTAACCCTACCATATTGCATTAAATGTGCATTTAATGCAATGGTATAAATAGAAGTGCTTCTTATCCATGCAGAGTGCGCGCACAACATACTCTCTTAACCTAATTCTTACTTTGAGCATTCTTGAGCTTAAGTAAAAGAACTTTTCGCTACAACATATCTTTTCTTATTTGCTAAGATTCAGTGTGTAAAAAAGGAGGTCTAAGGGTAGGATGAGAAGGTAGTAGCTACCCTTTTTCCTGCCCTCTTGACTTTCTTACCCCAACACATCAACCATTAAGTTCCCAATGCAAAAGTACTTATATAATTATATATATACATATATATATATATATATATATTACTAAAGGGGGAAAACCGATAACAAGGAAATGTTCAAAGTTTTAAAAAAAATAATAATAATAATAATAATAACAATAATAATAATACATACATACATATCCATAAAAGAAACGCATACCTCACCAACGAGACGAAAAATCCTGACGTGAACGAAATAGAGAGCATAGAAAGAAATCAGGTGTTACAGATATATTAACATATATATAGATATGTATACTCAAATATTCACAAAGGAGGATTCTCATAAAAATAAAGTGTTTTTAAACACGKAATAAGTAYATGAAATTCCAGGTGTTACAATCCTCCCCACCTTGGATCAAATTTCGTCCTCGAAATTTCTTTTTTTTTTTTAACTTACGAGAAGAGATGGGGGTAGCGCTTCTTCCAGTCTTCTTCCGCTTCCCATGTCACATTGGACCCTCGATGATGTTTCCACTTCACCTTGACCATTACAATCTCTCTGTGCCTTAATACCTTGGTTTTGTTTTCTAAGATGGCTTCTGGTTCTTCTACGCATTGATTGTTCTCATCTACATGAATTCCCGAAAGTGGTATTACACTTTCTTCTTCTACCAAGCACTTACGAAGGTAGTACACATGGAATGTGTCATGTATTCCGGCCATCTCTGGTGGTAGTTCTAATTTATAAGCCTGAAGGCCCACTCTAGCCCAGACTTTAAACGGTCCAARGAGACAGGGACTTAGCTTCTCAYGTTTTTCCAAAGCGGATAATATCTTTCCATGGGGACACTTTTATCATTACACGGTCGTCCACTTRGAATTCCATAGGTCGGCTCCTCTTATTTGCATAACTCCTTTGTCGATCTTGAGTTGCCTTTAAGCGCTCCCGCATACACTTTACCTTATCGGCCGTTTTCTGTAAAATTTCGGGACCGGCGAATTTCTTCTCGCCCGCTTCTAACCAACATACCGGAGTCCTACATTTYYGTTCGTACAACGCCTCGAAAGGTGCCATTCCTATGCTGGAATGATAACTATTGTTATAGGCAAACTCCACCAGGGGTAGGTGAGAATCCCAATTCAAGAAATGTTATGTAATCTAAAACAAATTCTCCAAAAGTACTCCAAAAATAATGGCTAAATTAAAACTTTAGACCGTTTACAGTGGAAAACTTTAAAAGAATAAATATATAACTTAAAATCAGCCCGTCCCATATCGGGTTGCTTTACAAATTTATATACCATAGATTATTGCACCTAAATATTGAACTTAAATGGACTAGACAAATCTCTATGTATGCCCTTCTTTTTCTTTGTCCAACCTGAAACCTTCTGTCCCTGATTGCGTATAGATTCACTACCGATAACTCTTGACCAAATGCCTACACATTTCATACATAACATCTCATTAACATCTTAATTTCTTAAAAAGTCAACAAAAATCAACTAAAGTCAAACTTCGTATCCGAGCATCTTAATATGCCTCAAACAACTCTATTTGACCCATCATTAAAATCCACATGGATCAAACGTGCCAAAAGTCAACCCTTGGTCAACTCGATCAACCCCGACTAACTTTAGTCAARCCCCACATCTAAAACCTCGATGGCATCCCAAAAACATTTTAATATCTTATRATTTCATCTCTCTAAATTAAAACGTCACCATAATTACTTTACTCAAATTACGGCGCTCAAATCGTAAAAAGARAATTTACCGATTCATATAAGCATCATTCTTAGAAAATAAATAAACTAATATTAATTAAATACTAATTCAATTTAATACATTAACTAATTTAGAAATTAAATTAATTAGTTAATATAAACTAATTAACTAAATCTGAAATTTATTAACTATAAATTAACAAAACTCTTTTACCTTAAGTACCCAATTAAATCCAAAAATTTAAGGGCCTAAAATATAGTCTCATCTTTGGCCCAACATCAATGAAATAAA